TACCTTGTAAGCACAATACGTATTTGTAAACCTAACTTTTTAGGATATAATATTAGTTGTAGATACTTATAATGCAGTGATAAAGTACAATATTATACGCTAAAGAAAGAGGTATAACTTTTAATACACATACAATAACTTTGTATGTGTAAATAAACTGCTAACATACAGAGGTTACACTGATAGAAGTCTGATCATAAAAATCTAAATTATGTAGAATACATGTAAACAGTAAGAATGGAGAGGCTGGGGCTGAGTGGTTAGAGCAGTCGTCCTCCAATGCGAGAGTTGGGGGTTCGAATCCACCAGCAGACACATGCCGAAGTGTCCCTGGGCAAGACACTGAACCCCTCATAGCCTCCGATGTGTGTCCCATCAGTGTATGAATGTGAAAAAGCAACATGTCCGTGTTCTCCATTTTAACCAACACACTGCAACTGCTTATCGTTGATTTATTGAGTGTTTATTGGTGAATTATTAACTGATAATTAGTCATTGACAAAGGTAGCTCTATTGTAAAGTGGCACCCAAATCATCTATTGTCAAACCCAACTGTTTCAGACTACAAGCTTATTTAAAAAAGACCCCACATGGGAATTTTTCCATGGTTTTTTGTTTTTTTTTTAACCGGACCACACTTGAACTAAATGGTCAGATTATTGGGCTCACCAGTGCCAACTATCCACCCTAATGGGCCAAATGTGGAACCAGTGCCAAATCTTTTATAGGGCCATTTTTAGTCCCATTGGACAATAAACCGTTAGCTGTAGATTCATCAAAGCAGCCTTGAACAAACATAAAAACAACGTAAATGACTTACACAGCTGTATGTACTAACATTTTGAAAAGGCAGGGTTTTTTTAACGGTATTTGATGTTTTAATTAAAAAATGGACTTTGTGGTTTAGGCTTACTTTGAAGGTTAGAGCTGTAAAACATCACAATATGACCAGATGTTGTTATGGAGTTTTGCACATTGATGAGGACAATGTTGCAGCTTTGAGTGCACCCCCACCGTCATTTCTACCGGTCTAAAGTCCGCCTGTTAAACTGCCTCAGTTAAAACTTCTTTTACGCAAATTACAGCTCCTATCAGCGATCACCTGACTCAGAAAGAGGAGAGTTGTGTGTTTTGGTATGTGAGAGAGGGGGAAAACTGCTGAAAGACAGAAGCTACAAAAATCAAATTACCTGAAGTTAAAGAGAACACTGTGTATTCATCATAAAAATGATGAAGTTTTAGTCGTTTTGGGTCAAATATTGAAAACAACAGTAGCATAATGAGACTGTGGTGTGCTCAGATTACTTGTTGTGAATGACTCCCATATTTTAGAACAATTCTGTAAAACTGACTAAATCATAAAGATCAGTTGGTTGTGACAGCCATCTTGAATATGGTTGGCTCCAAAAATGATTATGTAGTGTAAAGGTACACTTGGTGATTATTTTGTAAAAGTTGTATTTAAATACGTCAAGTGTTTCATGAGATATTTTGCTAACAAACAACAGAGTTGAATCCAAATAGTTAATAGCACATTTTTAAACAAAGACCTTGTGCAGTTTGTTAGTACTCAAAATAAGTGTTGGGGATCACTTTCAGCTACTATCACACCAGATTTTAGGTCAATATTCATAAAACTGACTGAGATCTATACAATTTTGTCTTATTGAAATCAACTAGCTGTGGCAGCCATCTTGACTTAAGTTGATTACTTCCTGCGAGTTTCATTAAAAGTTCTTAGCATTTAAGGAGATATTTTGCTGATTGACAGACACAAACACATGCACACAGGCATGGGTAAGAACGTTGTCTGCCTATGCCTTTTGACGGCCGAAGATAACAAGTAGCTTTTTCCTTCCCGTACCTTTGCAGAAGTAGTTTCTAGGCGGTCACTTGTCAAATCATGCACTGTCATTGTTGGTTGTGTCAGCAAGATGACATGGAAATTGTGTGAAAATGAACAAAACTGAACAAGTTGCAACGTTAATACTTCATGTGCTTAAAGGGATCTCTGACTACTTGCACATATTGGCCTTAATATTTCTCTATTCTTCTAAAAGTTACTTTTGGTGACACGTGAAAACTCCTAATAATTCAAAACATACAATAAAGTTATACAGTAGTTAAGTATAAGTCCTTGTGTACAATGTATGGTTTAAAACAATCAAACGGGATCAACTTGTGATGTTTAAATCATTAGCTCTAAAGCTAACGCCATACTGGATTTAACGCTATAAGCTCTGAAGCTAACTTTAAAAATAGCTATTAGCTCTCTGGATTTAATGTTATGAATATATATTAGCTCTGGAGCTAATGATATAAATATATATTAGCTGTGGATCTAAGAGGGTGTCAAACTTACTTATAAAAGGGGGCCAAAATTAAAACCTTTTTCAAACTAAGGGCCAGTTTCAAAATCTACATTAACTCAAGTTAGATACCAAACATCTTTTCTTGGTTGCCGTTTCCTCAAAAAGAGAGTTTGATTTCAATTTCATTTGGCGTTCTCTGTTGCACTTTTGACATCATAATCAAAAATTACTGAAAAAATTCAAGTGAAAAAAGTATTTTATGTTGAACGTATCATCTTGGGGGCCAGATAAGATGTCACTGAGGACCACATTTGGTCGCCTGGGCCTTGAGTTTGACATATGTGCTATACGCTCTGAAGCTAACTCTAAAAATATATATTAGCTCTGAGTCACATGCTATAAATATATATTAGCTGTGGAGCTAATGCTATAAATATGTATTAACTATATAGATAACTTTATTTGTGCTGAAGCTAACAATATAAATTAATATTAGCTCTGAAGCTAACACTACAAATATATTAGCTCTGAAGGTAACAATATAAATAAATATTAGCTCTGAAGCTAATGCCATAAATAATACTAGCTTTGAAGCTACTATAAACAATATCCTGATGCATGCTCAATAATCCAGGTAGAAAAATCTAAAAAAGTTAAATCTGGTCCTCTGGACACTCAAAAAACAAAACAAAGCAAAACAACAACAAAAAAGTAGAAACGTTTCGTCTTTCATCTGAAAGACTTCCTCAGTCTGAGGTGCTGTATTCAGCTCAGTCTCTTAAATAGCACCTTCTCAGAGTGGATCAACCAGTTTGCTGCGGACAACCAAAACCAGCTGATCACATGCTCAAGAAGGACAATTATCCTAACGATGGATCATTAGCACACTGATGGCTGTTTACTATTCACAGTGGGCTGAGTGATACTATAAACAATATTAGCTCTTATGCTAACGCTATAAATACATATTAGCTCTGAAACTACCACTATAAACAATATTAGCTCTGAAGCTAGAACTATAAATAATATTAGCTCTGAAGCTAGCACTATAAATAAATATTAGCTCTGAAGCTAGCACTATAAATAATACTAGCTCTGAAACTACCACTATAAACAATATTAGCTCTGAAGCTAGCA